GCTAAGTCGGCCTTTCACAGGGTTTTATTTTGGCTTCAAATGATGATATATAAATTATTATTTAGACATTTATTCACATGACACGCCTATCAACTCGCTAGACGATCGGATGGAGATTAAAATGTGATCGCCATGTTATGATTTAATTTAAAAAAAATTGTCGATTAACAAGTAACGTTACAAGTCAAAACTTCAAACAGAGACGTGGGGGGTTGGATGGCAGAATGTTAGCACGTGCGTGCTGTATCATAATGCCTGTCATTGAGTCAACTGGCGTGGTTTCGAATCCCCGGTTGTACGTGACAATGAGTAGGGTCGCCTGTCCGACCTCGTGGGTTTTCTCCGGGTCTACCGGTTTCCTCCCACTGCTAAAGACCCCCACGCGCAAGCGAATTATTGAAATAAAATGAAAACCATATGTTAGTCCCGAAATGACCTACCCCATCTTCTCAGTAGTGCAGTACAAAGGGCCTAACAGGGGACAATGCATAGTTGTTCGGATTAGAAAAAAATCCGTCTTCATTAGCCCAGTTGGCAGAGAAAAGTAAGACGTTAAACCCAACTTCACTTCTGAATGACCTACTGTAATAGATTTTATCGTGTTATTCTCCCAGCAATCCAACATTGTCAATGCTGCTAATCTGTTCATAGATCTTATTGGCAGACAGTGGACTTAATTGGGGTTTAATATAAGTGTTTGGTTCATTACCTGATATTTTCCTACTCATGGCTACAATTGTGATTTTATACTTTGTACGTTTTTGTTTCGTACTATCATATATGTACCATGTATGCAGGATTTATACTGTCTATTTATATGAGTGCTTTGAATTGATGCCCGTCCATATTTTTGTACCCTTCCAAATTCTTTGTATTTGCATTTAATACTTTGTACATGTATATTGTATGCTGTTATCAAAGAACGTTTCGATGCAATAAAATTCTATTCTATTCTACTGCACTTTGTCTCAAAATAATCCAAGTAAAATGTCGAGGAGACATTACACCCCGATCCATTCTGCTTCTTTTACATGTTGTATTAATTATATCTTGATGTGCACAAAGGTGTCTGTTATTTTTCTACGTGCAAAAGTAGCTGTTGCCTTTATAAAACTATGTGCCAAGACTCACATCATATTTTTGGTTGTACTTATTATAATAACCTATAACCACCTGTTATATAACAAATAACACCTACTTACTATATTTAAAGCGACACTTCACCCATTGTTGGGGGGGTTGGATGCCCGAATGGTTAGTGCGTGCACGCTGTATCATAAGGCCTGTCATTGAGTCAACTGGCCTGGTTTCCATTTCCCGGTTGTACGTGACAAGGAGTAGGGTCGGATGTTCAACCCTGTGGGTTTTCCCCGGGTCCTCTGCCCCCCCCCCCCCTACTGCTTCTGGATCAACTGGGCTAATAAATAAGGGGTATACGCCATACAGCGTGCAATTAGGGAAATGTTAAGCCCAGCTCACAACACATCTTATCTCCCATAATGTTTTCTTTAATGTGGGAAAACTTGAGATGGAAGACATGCACATTGCAATATTGGGGTAATTAGCCTGTGACGTCATGATAAGCAAAATCCTGAACCTGATTTAAAAGTAACATAAAATAAAATTAGCTATGTGAATTTCCAAAATTAAATAAGAAGTGACAGAAAGAGTAAATAAGGGTCCATAGCAATAAATAAAACGCCTTCTGTTTTTTTTATAAAGGATTCTAAAAATCAAATTATATGAAATGATTGATGATGATGTCGTATGGAAGATTTCGCCCAACAAAAACAATGGCGTCTATATGATGTATTTTAATCATTAAGAAACTTTCTTTACGGATACCAATATATTAAAGGCAAATTGCCAGCTTAATAAATAAAATGAAGAATGTTAAACAAGTGTTCCTGCCAACAAAAATTTCTAAATTAGTTTAAAGCTTCATTATTTAAGAGCTAAATCTACCTATTGCAGGTCTATACCTTCAAATCTTATATACATTATCATTATTTAGACATTTATTCACTTATCAAGCCTCAAATCAACTCTTTAGACCATCAACACCCGCGAAATTTAAAACTTTAAAGATAAATTGGATAATTGAGATTTAGTCTTGGTTGCCAAGTATTGTTGCTACCATCATAACAAACAGTGCTACATCTTCACACAGTCATAACTTTGCCCAGAATAAAGTAATTTGAATGCAATTTTCAACTTATGCATCTTTTATATATTCAGTCATGTAAGTACATAGCGGTTGTACATCTGTATAATAAATAATGAATTATCGATGTCATGGCCGATATTATCATCACAACTAATGCAACTAAACAAAGTACTAATTATAGTAGGTTGTGAACTAAGTAAATGGCTTCATAAATACAATGTACATGCCAATACAGTTTCATTAGGCATGCTAGATGTACCAAAATTATTTTGTAACAATTTCATGTTTACATCTGCACAAGTATCTTGCGAACATGCTATTGTCACATGAATAAAAATATGAACACCATTACCATAAGATTCTTGAGCTCACCGACATGCTCCTTTCATTCAAATGCACGAAAGGAAATCATAGACAAATTACAACACGATCATAAAAACATTAACTATCTCTTGTTCGGGTCCACAAAACAGAGTACAGATGTAAACAACAATAATTTTAATCAAGTCCACAAGTTTATTGACATGTCAAACAGATTTTAATCTTGCTTATTAATTGTTTTAATTTAAAATATTAGTTTTAGATTTACGTGATGATGTAACCTATAATATATATTGTACATTGCCATCCGTCTCATCATATATGTATATATCTATGTATGTCTTTGCCATTTTAACTGTGTATATACACCCATGTTGTTCCTTTGTTTTAATATTATGTATGTATATTATCTAGAGAGAGGGTTTTACATAGGCTAAGCCTGTTCCCCAATCCCATTCAGACAAACTGAATAAAATAGAGGATAACGAATCAGTACAATGAAGGCACGTTAATCTTCCTGATCTAGGGAAATTAACTTCACATTTAACCTTTTCAGATTAGCTGAGAATTTGTCCATTATATATTCTAGTAATTTCAATATCTCAGTGGGGGTAATAATTGAACATCTTCTGTCTATCTTAAGGCCATGTGTTATATATTTTATAGAACTGTTGAAATAACATGACGTGATGACACGTGATAAACATAATTACACACGTTTTTCACATTTTTTAATACGCTAATAAATTATCTGATGAGAAACAAATCCTGAAAAATGATTAAATATGATATATTACATCATATGTATTGTTTTTACATATATCTCCTATTTTGGGGAAGGGTGGTTTTATCAATGGATGCAAAACTTCTAACGAAGACAGATTGTCATTTCGCGAAATAAAACAACATGATGAAATCGACAATTTTATTTTTGAACCCAATCAAAGACGTCTGGTTATTATGGTATAAAAACATATGGATATGTCAAGGTCGTTCTATCAACAATAATACTACTCTACATTGTTCAACACTTCTTTCTTTCACCAGACTTGTTATTATAAAAACAGGCATGTCTATAGTAGTAATCATAAACAATACAGTCTAACTAGACCATATTATTGTCTTCTCAGGCAATGTGGCGCTAGAAGAAGATCTTTGACGATATTATTGTCTTCTTCAGCAATACGTCACTAGTAGAAGATCTTTTGATGATATTATTGTATTCTCCAGCAATAAAACCCGATCATTATAATATATAGAAAGGCCCGCTTTTGATGCACCAAAAACATGTATTTTAATGCCTAATCCTTTAACAGGAAGTAATTTATAAAAGTGGACATGCCATGACAAGTTTGACAACAAACCAATTCAATAATAAATTCACTGTGGGGTTAAGGGGATGAGTGTAAGGTCTGTATTTAGTTTTAAAGGAAGTAACTAGTTTCCACGACGTCTACAGATTTAAAGGACAATATTGGTGTCAGTCATTATGGTTAAACACGTTCCAGATATAATTTTAACACAGAGATCATTGCTACGATGATGCGTTATGAAGATTTCAAGAAACGGAAGTGACGAAAGCAAAAGGAAAACACGAGTTAACCTTCTATATAACTGACTGAAGTGACGAATGATAACAGATACACGGGCGAATTTCTGCTCACTAATATTTCCTTCGAAGACCAAAAGTTGTTATGTGAGAATATCTGACAATTCAAAAAAGTAATTGATCACGAATGTCACTGGTCCGTGCATTCTCGTGTTTTTATTCATTCTATACTTAATAAAAAATGTACGGACTTTTCTATTTGCACGGACTTTTATATGGTTCTTGTGTTATTGAATACTGACACTGCTTTCAAAACCGGTTTCATCTCCTGACTGTTTGTCAAGACTGTGTTGCAAAACCATCTCCATCTGGCACCCCATTGTACACAGACAGTTTGTTTTGTTTTATATAAAAAGGTATAAAACTCAGACCAAGAATTCCCTGCGGTCCAAAACATTCCATTTTTTATATTTCCACACATCAATAAAGATGATACTGTCTACCATCTTTATCATGTAGAGTGTAACGTGTTGGACTGCAGAATTTAACGATCGAGGCAGCTGTTCCAATGTCTGATGCTATTTTTATGGGTTCAGGTGGATAACAACAACAATAAACGGATCTAAACTAACTGTCTTCCCAATCCTCAACGATCCGTTAATAAGATAAATAATGAAAAACACGAAATTTCCTTCCAACCATATTGTCAGGGGCCCAAATATTCCACTTAGCTGTGTTTGCTGTTTACTTGTTGAAAAGCTGGATTCAGTGCAAATAGGTTAGTGATGACTTTGACCATTGTCTCTATAAATTTGATGATATATATTCAATACAATTATGTGGAATTAATGGAGAATGGTATGGTGAATGTTTATGTAGGAAAAGTAGGAATGTGTTGAATAGATATCAACGGGGAAGGTTATAGGTGGAAAGTTTAGATAGATAATGTGAAAATTGACTCACCAGACTAGTGACCGGAACTGACGTTCTTCTGGACTTCATACTTTTCATTAACTTTTGTTCTTGTTTAAAATCCACAGGGGTATCATTATCAGGGATATTGTATAGTGCCCCTGGGGCCGCGTAGGATTTACGCCGACCCGTCCGCATTTTGAAAGCCGAATTCATTGATTAAAGTATGAATACAATATCATATACATATAACTATTACACTCTTCAAATGTACTAATATCCACAAATCCTAGATCTAGTATCCCATTAACATAATTCCTGGTGTTGAAACCAACATTACCAATATCCGTAATTAATATTCCGTAGTTTTGATTCGGAGATTATCCAGACATCCAAGGGTGATATCCACAAACACGATTTCTTGATCCAGATGATGTCTACAATCAAACAACGTGTTGGGCTCAATGGCGTATCAGATCAGATGTTGTTACCTTAAAATATAAACAGAAATACGTTATAATAATACTCAATGTTTCTTTTTGTATATCATATTAATGGTGATGATGATACGGATAATGGTATAAATGATAGGATAAGATCAGTCAATGACGATACGGATGATGGTGTCGACGATAACGGCGATGATGATGTTGATAATTTATGTAGGGTGGGGAGGGGCTACGTAATAAGACAAAATGGCGTCCCGGGGACAATTTTTAAACTAATAAACAATGTTTCCAAATTAATGGGACGGGAGGGGGGTCTCCACACAATATTTTATCTCTCTTAGATAGATACAGTAACAATACTTCTGTAATCTTTTCCTACATAACTGCTTATTCTCCATGACGAGGTTTTTATACCCGGATGTGCTTAATTGCATAATGACAACAACATTCTTTACACTAAATTAGTACATATTTTTTGACTATGGATATATATATGAGCGTTCTGGCTTGTCGTGCCTTTAACAAAAGAACTGTTTGATATGATCTCGCAAGATGATATTTCTAAATATCGCATACAATTTACATAGATCATCATGACATTCCATTATAAATCATTCTGCCGTGTCATGTTGTAATAATTGTCCCTTATTTAGTTCACAGTCCTCCATTGTCATATATTACACAGTTTGTATTTATCACGACGATCTCAATTAAGTGTTATTAATAAAATAGCACACTTATCAAAAACTGTTTAAACCTTAAACAATTACCAACAATTTAATATCAGTATTCACGTATTATTATTATTACGAACAATATATACCCCCCGCCATTTGCATACGTGTTCAATACTTGAGTGTTACAAAACATGCAAACAAACAACAAAAGAAGAATATCACAACAAACTTAGAATATAGCAACAAAAGAGAGAATATAACAACAAAAGAGAGAATAACAACAAAAGAGAGAATATAACAACAAAGCTAGAATATAACAAAACAAGAGAGAATATAACAACAAAAGAATATAAAAACAAAATAGAGAATATAACAACAAAAGAAGACTACCAAAACAAAAGAGAGAATATAACAACAAAGCTAGAATATAACAAAACAAGAAGAATATCACAGAAAAAGAGGGAATACCACAACAAAAGAATAATATCACAACAAAGTTGGAATATAACAACAAAGCTAAAATATAACAAAACAAGAGAGAATACAACAACAAAAGAAGAATATCACAACAAAAGAAGAATATCACAACAAAACAGAGAATATAACAACACAAAAAGAATATCACACAAAAGAAGAATATTACAACAGAAGAAAAATATCACAACAAAAGAGAGAATTCCACAAAAAAAAAAAGAATATCACAACTATTTCCCAATAAAAAATCTTAAAATATATACACAATAAAAATAATAAAAACATAATAGACCAAAGTACATGAATCTAAACTAGTTCTATGAAATAAAACATAAATGAGTTTGCTAGATCTATTATTATCATGCGGGGGCATTCCACGTCAAATGTATACACTTTTATGACACCGTGTCCCCGATTTTGACGTAACTTGCAGGGATTGATGTCCACCCTGAAAGAAATCACTATCCCGTGTTTTCGGTCATTTGGCCTAATGGGACCCATTTTATGGGTCACCAAAGATTCGGGCCATTCGACTGACTTCGCAGTTTCTATCAGCCATAACTCAACACACAGCTGTCCGATCTCGATAATGTTGGTATCAAAATACTCAGCAGACTGGACCTTTTCATTTGACGTAAGGCACCATGTTCTGCGATGATATTTTTTTTCTGAACATCTTTTTGTGTGACCTTTGACCTTAAACCTCTACCAGGATCACAAATCGATCAGATCATTTTTTTGGCCAAAAATGACATATCCTATAATCGTCATACACACCAAAAATCGGAGTGGAATATCCATGGGAACACGGTCAAAATGATCGCCAAAGATGGGTACCTCTACCTGATATCCAGTTCAGCTGTCACATAGGTGCCAACTCTTCATATACTAATGCATTCGACAATAGGCCCACTGTAACGTCTACAATAACTTTCTGGGCCTATCGATCCCACTCTGAGTTCACCAGTCCCGTGAACACCCAGTCTCGTGCTTCCAAGTGCTACAAATTATACGATTCCAGGCTACAGAAGTTCTCATTGCGCTTACGGTAGGCAGGCAGGACTATTGGCATTATCCACACCATTATAGCTTTCGACAGCTGATCCCCCTCAAGCAAATGAAGCGATGACGCCACCCATATGAAGCGTGGATAACACTAAACCGAGACGTGTCCGAAGTGAAAAATTTGATATCTGAAGTATTCATTCCTATCACACTTCCGTAACAACACTTCAAATTTTCAATGAAATAAAGAAGGCAGAAATGATATTGAAGTGAGGAAGATGCCATGCCAAATATGCAAATTAGGCTTCCACGAAGTGTTCACTTCATTAAGTGTTTTACTCAATTCAACACAGTGTTTATCGGGTGTTTTCCGTTTGCGTTTGCATCATTCACCAAAACGTGAAGCTGATGATGACTGGATCGAAGATGACTGAAATAGCGAAACTGGAAACGTACAGAGATGTCATCGCTAAAGTACTCTGTGATCCCCTGTTACCTTTGTGCAACATCCGGAAATGCCAAGTCTGTCGTGATAATGTGTCTAGCCTGCAAACAGAACTAATGGAGGCCTACGATGGCCACGCTGTTGATGAAGTACAATTCCAGAAGTGGACAACGACGGATAGGTCGCAACTTCACACGGTGACTATGTATTTGGAGCATTTTTTCGAAAACGTTTCTGAAAAAGTCACCAGACTAATTAGACATGATTTCATTGCAAAATCGCAGGCAGCTTTATTGCAGCGGAATAAGGAAGTCTTAGTCAACGGGGAATTTGTGGTTATCGGAGACTTTTCGGAAAACTTTTCTTTTGTAGTGCAGGACAAGGCCCAAGGATACCACTGGAATAATTCGCAGGCTACAACCCACCCGTGGGTATATTACTACAAGAATGGCCCAGTACGAGAACTGCAAATCATTTTTGAATTTGTGCTATCACGAACATGATTTCAATTGTCAGGCCGAGTGGCATTTCTTTGCCACCAGCCACGAGAAAGGCCCATCTGGTGTCGTTGGAGGAACAATCAAACGCGAGGCTGCTAATGAAAGTTTGAGGCGTCCATACGAAAATCAGATCACTAGCCCAAAACTTCTGTATGAATTCGCGACGGGGAATTTGAAATTACATGCCATAGTCCCAGTATCCGAGTCAACAGTTTCTATACGCGAGTACAGCAATGTTGAGGATGAACGGATTGAGGCTGTAACCTTAGTGGAGTCAGCCCCATTATTCATCGGAAATTCAACTGGCTACGTCACTGCTAAATATGACAGACATTAGTGGCTGGGTTTTATTACGGAATTCCGGCAGGAAACCGGGGAAATTAAGATTAACTTTATGGATCTCAGATGAATTGGTGCTACGAGTAGATAAATCGGACATACTGTTATCAGCCGAACCAACAACAGAGACAGGATGCACCTATAGACTTTCTAAACGTGAAATGACCGAATCAAGTAAAACTCTGTCAAAGAGACATTGGTTACAATAATGTTCTCTTGTGGTGAAAACAAATAACTATGTGACGGCTTAAGCGGATAGCATGTAGGGGTGCCAATCTTTGGTGATCATTTTGACCGTGTTCCCTTGGAGATCGCACTCTGATTTTTGGTGTGTATGACGATTATAGGATATGTCATTTTTGGGCAAAAATATGGCCTAGCTGATCGATTTGTGATCTTTGGTGGCCCATAAAATGGGTCCCTGACCCAAAACATGGGACAATGTTTTCTTTCCAGGTGGACAACAATCCCTGCATGTTAGGTCAAAATCGGTGACATAGTGTCATAAAAGTGTGTACATTTGACGTGGAATGCCCCTTTGAACAATAAAATGACATTACACGATGTTATAATTTTTTACTATTTATTTTGAATAATATAGTTCGTTCATGACGAGGAAACTTGATATGAAGGTCACTACAGACTACTATAGTCTCTGAATCTCTGCAAAGGATCGACGAACTGACCTCAAGTTTTACACATAATCTAGCATGATTAAAATATGTCTCACATTAAAACGGAATATGCTGGTCTTTTCTCAGCAAAAGAATAAACAGTGCCCCTTTAATGTCGAATTTCCATGTGTACAACAAAAAATAACCCTTGACCTTAAAGATGTGAGATAAACATTTAGATATTTGTTGACCATAGTAAACATTTAGATATTTGTTGATTATTATTAACATGTGGCCCATGTGTACCCTATCACGTTCAAATGTTCCCATAATTTAACCGAAAATAAAAATGTTACGTCAAGCTAGTACACGTAAACCAGTACTAACATATGTTAGGTTATAAATCACGCACATTATAAACGGAATCTACAGTTGAAGTAGAATAATGATAAAAATTCATTTACAATCCACTCATTTCACGAACCTACTCAATCCACTTAACCCATGACATTTAAAAAGCGAACTCAAGCTCAAAATTTTCCATAAAATTGGAAATTAAAAACACCAATTAGAATTAAATATTGGTCCATTTTAATTAATATCAATATTGTTGTCTTTCCCTGAAAATATGTCCTCCTGTTATCCAATATTTAAGAAACAATCTACATTTGAAAATCAGTTCCCGGTGTCGGGTTCTTTATGATCTCGAATGCCATTTGTAATGGAATGAAATGGAGTTCATCGTCCTATTGTTCTGCACCAACAGGGCTAATGAAGACGGGCATACACCACGCAGTGAGCTACGAGGAAAATTTTGCCCAGGCTGCAGCGCTCCGACCTACTCACATCGAATTCTAACTGTAAAGGGTTCATTTGTAATGAAGAAAGCAAAAACTATTCCACCAGCCAATGCGGAAGTAATTATGGCAAGGGCAAACGACCGTCATTAAATTTGGACTGCTCACGTATTTCACCGAATATCAGTTAT